TTACCAAAATTTCATGAATTAACGCAATAAAAATGCAAGAGTTAATGTCCTTGAGTATGAGTATGCCATACTTCTCAACACTCTCAGTAATTCCATAGCTATTAATGTGTATGTTTAGAATGCTTGTTCATACGAGCTTCAAATGACCAGATAACTAATATCTAAAGTTGAGTAGAAAGTTTATTAGCACTCATTTTATGAGTAGATTATCACTGACAAAGCAATAGTATCCTATGCATATTACTTTTTAATCTCTGATGGCTTCTTTGTTTATAAAAGGCTAAAATAAGCAAGCTTCTGTAAGACATTGGAAGTGGTTTCAGGTCATCAAAACAAGAGCACAGGATAGTTTTCATGTAAAGTCAATATTATGGTACCTTAGTTCTTTGAAGTGTATACATTATTAATTATACATATGTCGCTCATGACTGACAAAACCTTTGGGATCCCTAGAACCACACTGTATTTCCTCTGGATATTCTAGAAGATGGTGTACTTCTCTGTTCCCGTACATTTGTGATCTGTAATGAGGCTGGGACCGGCGGAAGGCCTTCCTCTTTCACTCCGTCATGATCACGAGTGGGGAATATTGTTATTTATTTGTAATCCCCTGCCCATACTAATGCTATCCCTAATTCTTATTAATGACTGACTTGGTTTGAATTATACCTCAACCTTTAAAGATCTTACAAAAATGATTGTTTTTGAGGAGTGGCTTGAATCAATTATGCCAATTTTCTCTGAAAATGCTTTCCCAATTTAGGATACTAATTGCATACTTTTTTTTTTTTCCATTAATGCATGTTTCCAAAAACAGTCATTATCTGTGTTTACCACGTAACAATACATATAATCAACCTTATCATATAACTTCCATAATTTTCCATGATAAAGCCGTACATTTTTTTTTACAGCATTTTACAGTTTACACAGCACTTTCAATTAATCAGCTCACAAGCCTTTGAAACAGGCAGGATAGTAATTAACTCAATTTTAATCATGAAGATATAAAGGTTCAGAGAATTAGAATGGCATCCAGGGCATAGCAGAAATGTGCTAGAACTGCCTTCTGACCCAGATTTTATAACCACAGACCAGGGTTACTTCGTAGTACAACACACTGATACTCAAGGCCAAAGCTCAGTGACATTCCACAATAAATAATTCAAACTCCATAGTCTGTGTTAACAATGAGATCACATCGACACAATAAAAAGAAAATGAGCCAATTATTTAGATAGTTCAGCTAAATGCTTTCCCCTTAATACCAAAATCCTTCTCCTTAAGTTAAAATTTTAAAGCGAATAAAATATTGCTCCCTTCAGTCAATATCAGGTATTCTAATCTTATGGCTTATTAAGAATTTGCCAAATGACAATAATATGTTGGCATTAACAAGGTCATGTTAGACCAGTTCTCTAAGATTGCTTCAGACAGTCTTTCCGATGCCCCACCCCCTCCAAGCTCATACACCCGCGCACGCGTACCTACACACACACTCACGTGACCTTTTACAGTTCACCTCTGAGCCTGTACAAGAGAGCGTAACAAAGAAAAAGTGTCAGAATGCCACGTGCTTGAAATATTACCCCTGGAAATGGACTTTCCAATGGCTGCCAAATCAGCGTCAAGTCCTGCTTTTCTCAAGGGCTTATCCCCATCTCTGAAACAATTTCAATTACACTCAACACGTAAATGCAATTACTCCTTCTTTTGCTCTTTGGGTTGTACCGATGAGGAGTCAGCTCATGCATCTGCATTTGTTTTGCCTGCCAAGCTTTCACACACCATCGTGTATACATAAAATATACATTATGAATACTTTTTAAAAACTTCATAATGAAGACCAGATAACCAACACAGACTAACAGAAAATGAAACTCATTCCCTACTAATTGTCATATACACTGTGCCGCCAGCCATCCTGGACTGGAAAGAGTTAAAAGTTGAAGCTCTCTTTTAATCAACTTTAATGAGCTCATCTGTAAATAAACTTTTCAATAGTGATTTAGAAACAGGTTAACTAAAACAGTTTGTAAGTCAGTCGACGTCAAATCAAAATTGAAAATTGGAGATTGATATTTACAGCGAGTGCTTAAAAACTTTAAAATAGGTGGTTTTTGCCTCTTGCAACATATTTCTACTTATTTTAAGCTCCCTCGGATTTTAGATTTGGATGTAATTATTTGCAAGTTCTTTGGACATGTGGCCCGTGACACAAATAATACTCGTATCTTGCATAACTACACTTTTTACATGAGAGTAATTGCTGGATCCTGCTCACCATCCAGTGTAGTAAATGTAATGGTGCATGAAGTTAAAATAATTTAAAACATTCTCAGAGGGTGGAGTGAAAAGGCAGCTATTGTTACCTGAACATGATTACTTCCTGCCTGTGTTTGGCAGCTACCTGACCTCAACCGAGCCTCCGGTGAGCTTCTTGTCAAAGGAAAGTTTAACAGCTTCATCTAAGTAATTGCTTATAGAAGGATCTACTCATTGCCTCCACAGAGCTGATCTTTTCTTGTTTCTCCTTCTTAATTTGGGTCTGCAGTTGACCTTAGAGTATCGCTTTAACAGAGAAACTGACCTGTGACTCCAGAATGATAATTCAGACTTGATCTGCAAAAGCCCACTCTCTTGATAAGATTTAGTTTTCGTATTCTTTACACTGACTTAAAATTATGCTGTGATAATTCAGAATTGGGGCTTGGGCATATCTCCTTGACATAAACAGTAACAAGTAAAATGAAAATATATTTTTTATTTATTTTGAGAGAGAGTGAGAGAGAGAAAGAGCATGAGTGGGAGAAGGTCAGAGACAGAGGAGGAGAGAGAATCCCAAGCAGAGAATCCCATGCTCTGCATGGAGCCTGACATGGGCTTCCATCCCATAACCACGAGATCACAATCTGAGGCCATATCAGAAGTCAGATGTTTAACCCACTGAGCCAGCCAGGTACCCCATAAAATACAAAAATTTTTAAGAAATTAAATTGTTCAAAAATATGCATTACTTTGTGTGCTCTGAGTTTCTAATGGTGCCCCTATATGGACAAATGGAAAATATTTAAATTTATGGACTTTCCAGACCACTGTCTGCACTTGAAATTATCAAGCCATTGCTTCCTATAATGAAGTGGGTCCTATTTGTAGTTCTAAGGATTATTATTTAATACTCCATTCATACTATACTTAGGATCATAAAGTTTCCTTTATAAAGCAATTTAATCAGTGAAATGGTGAACATTTAATAAGTGGCTCTTCAGGAAAAAAAAATTTGCTTATTTCCATGGTGGTCTAAATCTTACTACATGGTTAACTTCAACCCACCAAATGATATCACTAGAAGGGGGATGGCGAAGAGACGTAGGTCATTGGTTCTTGGGAGCCGGTTCTGGCTGGTTCTAATACACCACTGAATTTTAGTGACTAGATAATAGGGATCGACTTAAATGCTTCTGGAGAATCTCCTGACTCGGTTTAACGTGGATTTTTTTTTTTTTTTATCAATTATTACAGGGTCTGGTTTTAAAACATAGCCTCTCAAGTGTTATGGAGATAATCATATATGGCACTGGATTTCGGAAGGGGGAAAAAAACCCCAAAAAACTAAAATAAACTCACCCCTGTTACCGGTAAGCTTAGATAGAAAGCATATAAATTTCATGTAAATTAGGGACACACTCTCAGCCATCTCAAGTATTTTTTTAACAATCCCACTGAATCAAGTTTAGTATCTGTATTGATGTCATTGTCCACGCATAAAAGAGCAAGTGGGTATAGGCAAGAATTTCAAATCTTTATTTAAATTTGAGCTTTTCTTTTCCCAATCTGTGATCAGCAGATATGAAAAAAAAATAAAAAGATATGTTTATATATATATATATATATATATATATACTTAAAAACAAGACAAAGGTGAATGATGTGATTATTCTTTTCTAAAATACACTCAAACTTCCATTTAGTGATCTGTGCAACAATCAGTTTTAACATCATCATCCAAATGCACTAAACGATTTTGCCTTCCTGCAGACAACAGGGGATTATTACAAAACTGTCTTTTCAGCACCTTGCTGATTTAACGCCTACATAGTTCCTGCACCACACTCTGCTTTTATTGACTTGGGTACGTGTACTATGTATTTTTTTTTTTTATTCGAAAAACTTACATAGGGGACTAAAAGTCATGAACAGAATCTTTTACTGTTATGAGTTTTTCACATACATGTATATTAATACAGCAAGAAGCATATCTATCTAGTCCCACAACAATGTTTACAAACCTGTATTCAAATGAAAGGACTGAGTGCAGATGGTCAGATTGACTGACTTATTTCTTTTGTGATGAGGCTGAAGGTCACTTTCACCTACTTTATTTCTAAGGATGAAGCGTAAGTTTACAGAATCCTGGTTTCTCCTCACGTCATCCAAATATGAATATTCTGATTCCAGTGTTTGTCTTTCAGAAAGAAGCACTTTTAAAATGTAATTTCCTCTACAGGGTCCGCTATCTGTAGATTGATTAGGAACCCAATAAATTATTCTGAAAGAGAGAAATGAAAGAAAAAAGTCCATTCTTATTTCAGTATATGCACATTAAGCTAGTACTATTCTAGGAAAAAGTGATAGGTGGAAATATTATTTTAGTCATAAAATCCTTATTCTAAGAATCCCATCCTAAACACACATGATCACTTGGAATGGTCTCCTCATCTTGGCACCCTCTAAACCAGTATGGACCTTCTACATTGCTTGGTTAGTTCTTGAAGAAGGTGTGTGCGTCAGAATTTAAAGACGGAGTTTGAAAATTGTAACATTACATTAAGGTAGTGTTAAAAAAACAAACAAACAAAATAAACAGTCTTTTAGTCAATACGGTTACAGCCAAAAAGGTTGGGGAAAACAAATTCTCAAAAGTCTTTGGAGCATAGAGAACTTGTGACCTTGAAAAATAAATCTTGCATCCAAAACAAATCTCAATTCTGAAATCTTTCCAAAATACAAATATTTTATTCCACTGTTTGGTACACTCTAATGGCTCAGATGAACATCTTGTATGTCCTTGTAGCTGGGATCCTCTCTGAGATGTGAAAAGGGCTCAACTGCTCTATTTTCTTCTCCATATCCATGCTTCATTCCCTTCGTTTAGCTCAGCCTAGAGAAAAATCAGCATGTTCTGACGAGCTTAGTTCTATGAGGCAGTCAGATGGACCTGAATTTCGTGGAGATTGGAGCTCCAAAATAAATAGAACACCATGTATGAAATAAAAAAAAAGATAGTCTCCTGTATAAATCAGAAGAGATAATAAAAATCAATGAATAGACAGCAACTTTTTTTCATACCTCCACAAGCAGCTCAAAAGGAATGATTTACTTTTTTTTTTTTTTCTTATTTGGAACCCTTCGTAATTTATTTGCTAAACAACGGGTTATGTTGCCTGAAACCAAATTTTATCGGTTTGTATTGGAGGACTGGGGAGGATTTTCTAAGAATTTATATACTGCTAAATAAAATATATTTGCTAACCAGCAGCAGTAAACTTGCGCTGGATTCTGTAATCTAGCAAGCGAAAAGCATCACCGCAAATTATACTGGTCCCGAGTTTTGAGTCGCGAAAAGTTCTAGGACATTTCAATGGCACATCGTGTGTTGTTCTTCTCACTGGCAGTACCGTGAAGGTTTGTACAGGGCACGCTTGGGTCACGGACAACACAGGGCACTACTTGCTCATAGAGGTTAGGTGCTTTGCAGGTATCTGAGAGTTGCTATCTATTCACAAACCACTGAGCATGTCGTTTTATCAAAAAGCCTTTGAATGCTCAGAGTCTGTGGTCAGTGCAGTCCCTTGGGTAAGTCTAATGGAGATACACTTCACCAAGGCCAAAGCCCAAACAGTTAAAAATGGAGAAATATGTACAACCGTTCTCTCTAGTAAGTCGAGTTCTTGTTTTCTGTATGTAGTGGGTTGTTCTGTTTTGTCTCGTTGTTTTGCCTTGTTTTGTTTTTGCTTTTATTTATTTATTTTTTTCTCCAGTACATTTCAGATTAAGGTTCCGGGGCTATGAGTACAAACTCTCGGGGCCGGTGCCATACATATCTGCGAGTCGTTTAAAGCGAGGCCCCCAGTCACTTAGGTAGTCATAATTCTGATCAGAGTTCGAGCTGATGGAATCTAAGGAGCTGAGCGATTCAGCCACTGAGCCATTTCCTTCGAACGCGTACGTCTGCAAGGAGTCATAGGGGGGAGCACAGGGGTCCACGTCAGCTTCTTTCAGCCTCTCCCAAATAAATTCTCGAAAGATGACGTTGTCTGGGATGCTTTTAAAAGTCGGTCGACTCAAGAACTGAATTTCTGGAGTCACATCCCTTCGGGTCTTGGTATCTCTGATGACATTGAGGTTCCTCAGTGCGGCCATGTCAAAAGCTTCTGTGTCTTCCTCTCCCCCACCTTCATCGTCGTATCTCACAATATTTTCTCGGATATCTCTCTCCTCATCGAAAATGAGAGGCTCTTTTTTCCGTCTTCTCATAGTGACGATGAGGAGGATCAACACTAAAACGAGACAGGAAAGGAGCAGGTTTCAGTAAATGACCACCTGCCCCTTCATCATGGTGAAATCAGGCCTATGATCCCGACTTACAGATTTTCTGCTCTTTAAAGCGAAATGAGTTGGCCACCTACGTGCATGGGAATTCACAGCGGCAGACGTGCTAAAATTGCTAAAATGCGTTTAAAATAAGGACACTTTTATACATCAAGAAACCCTTCTCAACACCTGTTCAGAATTGATGTCTCCCGCTTTAAGGCAACCTGCAAAATATTTGATAGAGCAAATTGAAGGGCCAGTTCAGGAGAACTATAATGATTTCAAAGCTATGCAACACAAAGGGATTTTTTTTTGAACTCCTTAATTGCTGGAAAGGCAAAATGACTTTCATAAATGTTTTAGGTCTAATTTAACAACAGCAATTTCAGAAGGAAATGGATTTTAGCATTTGGTCAGGTTCTTTGAAGAAATGCCTAGTACTTGTCTAAGAAACTCCGCTGTTAAATAAAATCCAGTATGTCAGACCATATATGAAGATTAAAAAAGCTTTTCTATAGTAAACTGAGTCTCACTTTCAGGAAGAAATACTGAACTTGGTCTTTATGCGTTAGACCCGGAAAGAGATTATAGCTCGTGAGATTTTCAGCTTAGCCAAAAAGAGATTTATCAGAATAATTAATAAAGCACATGGTTATACTGGAAAGCAAAGGACAACAGATACACTGGCTGTTACTGGTTTTAAACCACCTGAATATACTCCTTGTATTTTCAATAAGTACACGCTACTAAGAAAGATTCTGCTCTGCTCAGGCTATGAGTGACAGAATGCTAGATGAATTGGGAACATATCAGATTTCCTTGGTACTTGATTTAGTTAGAGTGAAAAAAAATATTCTTGAATTTTGGAGTTCAAAATATATAAATTAAAGAAGTATCTTAAATTACCTTTTTATTACATCAGCCAATTTTTTTTTTCTTGAAGATCTAAAAGGCCCAAAGTAACCATTACTCTCAGCCTATTTAAAAAAAGACATTTGACATATTCATATTTACAATATCTTAAGAGGTCTTAGTTTGGCATTAAGAATACATTTGAAAATAAAACAGAATAAATAAAACCAAGAAGGACATCACTGTAATTCAGAGTGATTAAAAGCAATGACTAGGTGAGACCTAGTCCATCCTGTCTCAATCTGCTTAAACAAAGTTCTAAGCACTTACTTTTAAATAAGTCCTTTTCTGTTGTAACGTGCTGGTGTGGGCCTTGAATA